TCACTACAGTCAGTGATACCATGCACATTCCATGTCACTGAATATAAAAGAATAGGACAATACATAGTAGAAAGTAAAATTAAATTGTATTTAGACATGTTGAAATTATAGTTTCATTAGTTTGAACTTTAAAAAGAACCATTTAGTAAGAGCATCATTAAAAGAAACGGAGGATATTCAGTGACAATTTCGGGTAAGTTATTCTCAGAGCGCTGCTGATGCATTAAGTTAAAGTCAAGATGCATCCAGAGCTCTCCATCCATGAGCAAACATAGTGTAATCTGCATTGTTTGGTAACATTTAGCACAACTACATAAATGATTAGTTTATTGTGTAAATCCACTGTCACAGTGGGCTGTACTCAATGCAGAGTTAATTATGATTTGATCCAACTATTTTGTCATTATGACACACTGCCTGTTTTGACCTTCGGGTAATATTTATAATGAGCTATGTATAAGAATCTTTGTAATCCATTATAACAATCGCAGAGAGTTTATCCCAAAACTAAACTTGCTAGTTTTAATTACCTTATCCATTATTTCCACTTGGATACACGCAAATAGTGATTGAAGAGAAAAAACCCACACACACACAAAAAAAAGTTTAAGTAAACTTGATCATAAAAACGTATTCTTATGGCAACTACTTCTCAGTATGTAATTTTCATTTGAGTACACAAATAAAAAATATGCTTTCTTTAAGTGCATACATACTAATCATCTGCATTGTCGCTTACATAAAGATGCAATGGATGAGATTTTCACATTGAAATTCTTTACTTCACCAGTTGTGTTGCCAATAGCTTCATCGAGCTGTGATCTCACAATGTATATTCACCCATTCACAGCTGAAGGGTATACCTCTATCAATCGTCGCATTATTGCATGCGGAATTCTGATTCACTACGATTTCTGCGAGGCTGCAGATTAAGCTCATCAGATTGTCCCGACAATCGTCGTATAATCACCAACTGCCATGTCCTTGGAATCAACTGATGCCAGCCATAATGCGAAAGCGCTTTAGACTTGCACAAAATTAATAAAAAATTTAAAGAAGAATATTTTTCTCTTCATAGCGAAAGAGCTCATTACTAAGTGGGACATTATCTCCATTTCAGTTTTTTCTAGTTTTATGTCGTCAAATATTTTGAAAGAGACTTTGACAATCTATGCTGCAATATGTATTCCAAAAGACCATTTGTTACTATATTAAATGGTCGAAATCATGTGAATCCGATCCTTGAAGTAGCAGGCTGAATATTTTCTCTTCCTGAAACCAGTAGTTCTTGGAGATATCACTTTGGAAAAAAGCTCTTTATTCCGCAAAAGTGTATTTTTTAGAATAATTTCAAGAAGTAAAAAGTGTATTGGTAATGTATACTTACTTTCCATTCTTACACAGGAAGTAAGTAGGATCACATGTTCGGATTCTGGGACTTGTGCATGCTGGATGGTTTCATCTTCACCTGGTACAATCAACATCACCATCACAATGCCGAAGACATGTGAAACACGACCTGAATGCACTAAAAACAATAGAAGAAAGCATATTAACAGGTTTTTAATTTAGTATAAAATAAATGTTATTCACATGAATACTTATAAGAATTTCTCCAATTTAAACAAGAATTGACCCCATATCTTCCATAAAGAAAATATTTTGTTTACCAATTTAAAAATGGAATTCATAACAAAAAAAAATAAATAAAAATAAAAAAAAGAGATTTTTGAATAAATTACTTTTTGGGATTCCTGGTATACCAAAGCAAGTGGTTCTGTTACATTCGTCTTTCTACACGTAGTGTTTCAAACAAACTGTAATAACATTATTATTTTACAAACATTTCGTTCAACGATTAGAGTACTGACATGTTAATGAAGTTCTTACAACATTGATGGCCAAAAATCTGTAAAGATTAATAATTATTCTCGAATATTTCAAAATTGTATTTTGATGAGAACATCACAACAAAGGGCAAAAGAAAAATATAAGTAAATGTTAGTTCAAATGTGGGGTATTCAATAAAGTGGTTTATTTCATCCCTTTACTGTCATTAGTTTTTTTAATCAATCACAGCCCACCCACATATGAAAAAGTCTTTCTTTTGCGAAACTCTTTTTATGTGCAAACAAAATTAAAAAGAAATAGACCAGTTTTGCGAAAAAGATTGTACAAGATCTTATTTAAAGATCTATTTTTGAAGAACAGATTGTTATGCCCTCAAAAATCTTTATCCTTCAATATGTGTAGTTGTAGGAAGAACCAAAATAAGAATTTCAAACAGTAGTAATTTGTGGAAAACTGCAGATAATTCCACAAAAATTTGGAATATGCACTATTTTTAGGTTACTTTGCGGTATGTCTAGGAAAACATGTTGGTGCCATTTTTTGAAAAGAAATTTGCAAAAATGTTGATGAGGCCTTCATTAAAAATTTTCCTCCAAACTAAAAAAAGCCATTTCAAATTCGTAGGGTCCTTTGTGAGCAGCCTGATTGATATTGGATGCAATTTGCGTAGATAAATTGTCTGAGACTATTTAGCGATTAGACGAGAGACAGAAAATATTTTACTGTTCAAATATTTCTTTCATACCTGGGAGTTGAACTTAAACCAATCGATCATTAGGTATGATCACATCAGTTGTAGCTGATAATGTGTATACTCCTGTTCAAAAATTCCTTCATACCGAAAGCTTTGTATTGTTACCTTCATAGAGGATATGAAAACTGGTTTTATTGTAGTTCAAAAATTATTTAATTGCCGTAAACAAATGACTTGCAGATTTTTATGCTTAATAGATGAAATTTGTAGTACAGCTGCATTTGGTATACTTTTTTCTAAGATGTACAAAAAATGCACATAACACATTGTGCATTAGCACAAATGATAAATGCAAAAATGCAGATCATTCCCCATATTACTTCCAAATATTCGTATTGCAACATATTTACAACTACATTTGATTCTTTCCTGAATTTACTGCATTAAAACTTCCATATTTCCCCCCCCCGCCCCCCCCCAAATTGTTGAAGAGATTTAATATTTCTCAAACTCAGTCTTAAGTTGTTTTTATTCTACTTCTGCAATTCTCTATTCATATATTTGTTGGATGTTTAGTGTTGGCATGCAAATCTAATATTAAAAGTTGACCATTTTGTGTGTTTATCTGAAAAAGGTGTTAGTTAAATTGAATAAGAATAAGTTGTGGGTCACATTCATTTGAAAATTGGTATTTGCACCCATATGCAAGAACATTAAAGTGCAATGTCAAACATAACGTTCATTCAGTCTCTGGCATTACTCACAGTTTTGTTTTCTCCATATTCACTTGAAATTCAAGTTCAATAAGTTCTGAGGCAATATTGTTTGTAGGTATTCGCAAATTTATTTTTAAAAATACTATAATAATTTGACTCTAAATTGAAATCAAACTGCAATACAATTTACTTGGTAATTCAATTGTTCACTTAAAGATATCAACATTAGTGTTGCCAACATCATGAAAGAAAATTATGGCGTATTAAGCAAAAAATGCCTTTGGGTTCTAGTAATTAATTAATGCCACCTACATAGATCGATTTAGGAGGTGTTGGTTTAATTCCTGGTATTTACTTAAGATTGCAGCACCAAATTTAAAAAAAAAAGAAAAAAACATGTTTTTGGAAGTTTCTTTAAATCTAGTGGGATCCAAAAAATTATCGGTCTCGATCTGGTGACCAAGCCGAGACGTGTCGAATGAAACCTCATATGTCTTGATTGGTGCACGGGAAGTTGTCTAGATGCCAGTGACTGAATGGCAAAAACACACTGCTGCATATCCGCATAAGAGTTTTACTGAAATACTGTACAGTGATATTACTCTGCATACAAGAACTTAACTATTAAAAAATGAGGTATAAATAAGAAATCTACAAAGGCACAGACTTTCTTGTACTAGTTAGTTTCCTATTCTCTTCAGCTAAAAGTCTACTGAGAGCCTTCCACAGTATCTATGTCTCCTCTTGGAAGACAGGACTTTAAACATTGATGTGTAACAGGGGTTTCAAACACACAGCCTTAGAATCCATATACTTGGGCTCATCTGCCCTGAGCTCCTTTCTTGCAATGCCAAATGACTTACCCGTACTAATAGGAAATGTGTTATAGTTTAGGAATATATTAAATTGATAAACTAATAATATAACTAAACATGGCCTTTGTATGCATACACTGCCTTGCTCTGTAATGTTGATTGTAAGTATTTTATGCTTTCTTAAACCATTTATTTTCTTAGCAACTAAAGTTATCTAACATTAAAATCTAGCAACATCATACTCAGTAATCAACTATTTTCTCAAAACTAATTAACTACAGAAAATAATATTTATAACATATATCAGTTGACATAATGGTTTAGTTTCCTTTTCTTTATTTCATATTGAGGAAATTGGTTTTCATCAAAAAAATGTGGGCAAAACAATCTTTCTGTTGAAAAATCACTGATTTCTTCTGCAGCATTTCAATTTTTTTCCCTACAAGAGCTAAATAGTATGCAAGATAATAAAATGACCTATTATATAATTGATATGCTACCTAAATTCAGTGTTCTACATTTTCTGTATCTTTTGTACATTAAAAGGGAACTATTTATGGCCATGAAAGCTAAACTATTTAAAGTGGGAAAGTCCTTGAACCTTTGCGATGGTGGCAACTAATTTTGTTGACTTTCATTTAGAGGTAGAGATTCGGCACTGATAAAATTATTATTTCCCATTTATTTTGCAATAAGATTAATTTATTTATGATGAGTTTCTTAGAAGACGTAAAGAAATGGACCCAGGGTGCTGTGTTCCAAGCAGTTTAGTGACATTACATTTCAAAAGATAGCTGAAATATCAGTGGTACAGAAGTTGCATTAAAGTGATTAAAACGATTTTACATAACCATTACAAATAATAAGAAAATGTCTGTGATATGTTGTAGTATGGCATATTCAACATTTTACTGGCTTACATACCTGAAAAAATCTGAAGGGCATGTTCTAGTGTTGCAGTCTTCAGTTTCATCAGACTTATCCCCACAATCATCATCTCCATCACAAACCCAAACAGAAGGAACACATTTCTTGCTATTACACAAGAACTGGGAACATCAAAACACATACATATGAAAAATTAAAATAATTTATTACATCACAGCAAGTACAATATCTACATAAATGCATATAATGTACGTGTATCAAATCTTGATACACGTACCCACATGCTTGTGCGCGCGCGCACACAAACACACACACACATGCACACATGCATGCCACACTCCCCACCCATCCCCTTCCAGATATTACAACACATAATCCTATTTCCCCTTTTAATTATTTCTGCTAAAAGCTAATCGCACTTATTTAACGGCATTTTTCTCTTTCACTCACACCCTGTTCTATTTTCCTAGCATTCACAATATAGTCAATTGTTTTCAACACATTTACTTAATAACTCAAGTCCAATTTCAGGTCCAGCAGCTAAAAGGAAAGAAAGTATAAGAAACATATAAAGGTAATATGTTTCCCAAATGATGCTACATCATTTTTTCTTTCAATTTATCCTAATCATCCAGTTTCTTAAATCTGTACTTCATTACAGACAATATGGGAGTCTATGGTCGATACGATGAAGTGAATTATAATGAAAATTGAAAGGTGATAGTGACATATCTCTTTCTCGAAAATGAAAGTGATATCAAATTGCCGTTACCACAATTAGATCATCTGATAATCATATCTTTAGTTTTGAACTCGCTAGCAATTAAAGCTTCCAGCTTTTAAAATTTCTCTGCCAACATCTAGGTAAAATTAATGTCATTCAAATTGCTGTTCAGGTGATGCTCTGTTGAAGGATGTGTTGCTGTCATTTTAGCCATTACATTGTGTACTTCCTCAGCGCAAACTGGTGCACATGATCAAAAAATAATGTTTAAAACATCAGCATCACATCTTTTGTCATGGTGTCACCTAGACAGCCATTTGCATAGGTCACACTATTCTGAACAGCATTGGTACAACTTTTTAGCAAACAAAGACCATGAATTTGAGATATATCCTACAAAGTTTAACAAATACTGCAAATACATATTAATAAAAAATGTATTAAAGAAACATATATTATTTGGCTTATACTAATACAAAACATACCTGATTTGGGGGACACGTTTTGGGAGGACAATTCAATTCATCAGAACCATCAGGACAATCAGGGTCAAAGTCACACTTCATGCTGAGAGCAATGCAGAATCCTGGAGATGTAGCATTGCCTTCACACTTGAACTGGGTGTTCTGGCAGATGTACTGTAAACACAATTTGTTTCATCACAGAATCTCAGATTACTCTTGATTCACCTTAAAAATTGATCCAAACAATGAGTTGAACGGTTCAAGAAAGAATGATCACGATCCAAAATTCAAAATTTTCTGGAAGAGTGTTTCAAAAGATGAAAATTTAGATCTTAAACCAGTTTACTTAACTTAAACATGTATAGTTTTGAACACATCATAATTTACTTATTCAAACTAAAAAATATTTTTACCAGAACCGCTAATCATGAAGTAATTTTCTCAAAGACCTACATGGACTCTGATAATCTGATCAGCATTTCTCTGTACCCTTCATTTGTAATAATTCTTTCTAAATACCTTGACAATCTTAGTAAAAAATCACAAATGAAATATTTTAATAATTTTGAAGACTGCCAATTGAATTCCAAAAACACTATTATACAATCAAAAATAACAAGACTGTTTATTATATAAAATTTGAACCATCAGAATCATCATCCTCAAATTTTAAGGATTAGATGTAGTAGCCTGTTCTTCTGAATAGGCTACTACATCTAATCCTCTTCCAGTAATTATTGTTATGATTAATTATAACATTATGTAATACATACATAAATACATTTGTAGTTATTACCTGCTTGTATATTTTCAGCTCTGATTTAAGTACATGGCAGGGACTGGTTAATTTGCAATTTTGCAATGCTATTCATTACAATATTTTCATAAACATACTTGTTAGAGAAAAAACTCTCAAACTGATATTTGTTAAAATGCATTAAAATATATACACACTTGCAAAATACATTCAAGTTTTTAAAAACTCTGGATGAGACTATTTACTGCAAATCAATTAACTACACAAGAAAATGTACAAGCAACAGTGAAGTAATACAAGAATTAATGATACTTTAACTTTGAAAAGCAACACACTAGCAAAGACCAGCTACTTTGGAAGGAATCAGAGGGCATTCAAGTAGACAGAGATTCAACTCTTTCATCAATTGCCTTCATTTTCTGATTCTTGTGCAAGCCAATCCAAACATTATAACTTAGAGAGACATTGGGAGAGATGGCC